GAAAGAAAGAAAGAAAGAAAGAAAGAGTGAGAGATGAAGGAAAAAAGGAAAAAGGGACAGAGAGACAAAAGGAAGGAGAGGGAGAGAGAGAGAAAGAAAGAAAACACATGGCTGGCAAGCCACTCCCACCAGGTCACATGGCCAGCAAGCCACTCCCACAAAGGAGGCCACACCCACAGAGTAGGTTCGAAATTTTTTTGAAACCCACCACTGCTGGTATCTGAAAATCCCAGAGAACTACTTTCTAAATTTATCACTTGGAACACTTACATTTATAAGGAGGAATTTGTCTTTAGTTTCCAGTAATGTTAGGCTAAGCTATAACTTACTGTTCTTACCCAGCTCCCAAACAGGACAAACCATCTGAAGTTAACTCAAAGGTTCCTTAATTAGGAGCACCAGCAGCCCCGGCAAAAAGTTTCTCTCTCGCTGAATGCTAACAAGTCTGTCCGGCAGGGAGATGAATAGTTGTCTGCCACGTCTATTCATCTCTACTCCCTGCCTTTTGTCCGCAGAGCTAGGGTGGGGCTTTGCTAGCAGCATTGGCTCTTCCTTCTCAAGAATCAGCACACAGATTTCTACTGCTCTGCTCTCCTCTGCCTTCTGCGCATCCATGTATCAGACACTAGACCCAGCTATTCCTCCTCTTCCTCATCAGTCACTTCCAGACCTGGGGGCTGCTGACTGAGGGCTGATGGATGAACCAGGCTCCGCCTCTGTCTCTCTCTCTCTGTCTCTCTGCCAGTTCCATTTCCCCTTCCCCCTCGGAGCTCTCAGGTTGCCTTGATCCTGACTTCCATGCCTCCTCTTCATCTGGTCAGCTGCTAGAGGGGCCATCAGGCCACAGCACTTACATACAAAGTTGGCCTAAGATTCTTTGCTCTCTGAGATAATGGGCTGCTGCCATTTCATGGATTGAATATTTCTTTAATACAGAATTCTCTCTTTTATTTTAAAGTAGCAGACTAGTTAGGAGTAACAAGCCATAATTCCAACTCTACAATCACAGCATATTGTGGTTGCTTTTTTCAAAATAATATATTCTCTGTGGTTTATGGACATGTTCTAGATATGCAGAGGGGCAGAGGTGGTATTCAGTAGGTTCTGAGTAGTTTGGAGAATTGGTAAATACCATCTCTGACTGTCCCTTCCCCCATCTATTCTCTGCCTCCCGAGTCCCAGCTGACTGGGAGAGAATGGGGATCTTTCAGTAACCTTCCCCTGGAGTGGGGGGAGAATGGAGATTTTACAGTATTCTTCCCACTAACCCATACTCACCAAGCCACACATCACCAACCCATGCCCATAGAACCAGTAGTAAAAAAAATTGAATCCCATCACTGCATAGGGGACATTTGGTTATATTGAAATCTGGGCTTGGCTATGAAACTTGTAATGTTCATTCACTATTTCCTTGTAATAGTGATTAAGAAAGAGAATGTCCCCGTTACCCAATTTAGACATTCCAAAGTAAAAAAGTTAATTTTCTAGGTACCACGAGTACCATACAACTTCAACCTTCAATAGAAGCTGGATGCCATGGGGACATTTTCCTTTCCAGTTTGACTGCCCTTTTATGCTTTGCTGTCTTCTTACTAAATCTGCAAGTACAGTATGCTGGGACAGAATATTAAAAGACCCAGCTATTCACCTAGTTGTGAGTGATTATTGGTACATATTTGCTCTGTAAAATGTTATGAAGTTGCTGGCCTGCTTCTAAAATAAAATGACCGAGCTAATATTTTGAATACAGCTCAATATGGATGTTTATGCCCATGTCACCAAATTGTCTTGGTGCTTTCAGATGCAGTTTATTGAGTTTGTGAGATGGATTCATTTTGAAACATAGTCTGCAAAGGCCAACTTGAGACACTCCTCTGTGATGAACCAGCCATGAACTGTAATAAAAAGGGCTCTGCCATTCATTGATGACATGAAACAATTTTCAACTTCTCAATGTGCCATTAAGAGTGTAGCACAAGGAATTGGAGAAGAAAATAACCTCTTGTTCCAAGCTTAGTGTGTGATGGACTGCTTTAATTAAAAAGCTGGTATTGTTTGGCTAGGATTCCATGTAGGATATGCAGAATGATTGTTTTAAATTAAGTGCTCTGTATACTGATTCGTGAATTAATAATCTTAGCAATTCACTTTTTTTTTTAAAAAAAAAGCCCAATATTAACGAGGGGCAAGAGGGTAGATATAAAGGAAAGAAACAGAGAAATACTAGGGCTTTAACACTGTATTTTGTCTGTTCCCAAACATGTTTATGACACACCAATTCCTTATTGAGATACTTTGTGTTGGAGAACAATGCCAAATATCTAGGTTGTTTATTTCAATGAACAGAGAAGAGCCTTCCCTTCAAATTAATCATAATGACCTTTGGATAAGTTTCCTATTGCCATGAAAAAAGAGAAGCAGGAAAAAATCATAGTGTTCACTTGACTGAACATTGTATCTGGTGGCATGCTAACATTTCACTGACAATTACAACTTTTACAAAAGTGCTGATGAGAAAGGAATGAATTTCAGATTTCCCTATTGCCAGCTAGATTAAATATTACTCAAACGTCATCCGCAAACAATGATTCGGCACTAGTGTAATGATATCTTAAATGAGGCTGAAAGTGAAGGATTAAATTTGTGGTTTGCCTATGCATTTGCAGTTCCTCCAAAGAATATAGTAATAATATAGAGAACAAGGGACATGTTCATCTGACTCTTATTTATTTATGAAATCTTTCCTGATTTATCTTGTCCTTCGCTCCAGGATAAATCCTATTTTGAAACTGCAAAAATAATATACAAAGGTTAAATTGTCAATTTTAAAGCAGACCAAGAGTGAGGGAGAGTGCAGAGCTAAAATCACTGAAAGGCCAAGTAGAGAACCAACACAAAACACTACAGCCTATCAGAAGGAAGGGAGGAAATTAGTCTGATCTCTTTAGGTAAAGGTTAAGTAGAGAGCACAGGAAAGCTGGTTCCTGTGCCGTCACCACTTAGCTTCCCTTGCTAGAGAGCCTTATAGGAAGATTTTCAAAGGAAGTATTAAATTTTAGAAAAGTTCAAGTGGGATGGAAGTGGGATTTCATGTATCCCCACTGAAGATGTGACAGTGGTTCACTTTTATCCACACATACACACACACTGAAAATGTGTAATTTAAACCATGGGAATGTAGTATGGTCAATCAAAGTATACACTAGACAGAAGTTCATTTGCTTGTGTAGAAGATTCAGAGAGTTGCTCAGTTTTCAAAATTACAATGCCAGCAGTGTTCATCAAACAAAAGTCACAGAAACAAAACCTCATCACATATCGCGCAGCCGTGCAAGCAATATGGGGTGTATCTAGATACACCCATATTACACCTATCCTCCGCGAGCTGCACTTGCTTCCTATTGGTCTCCGGACGCGCTTCAAGGTGCTAGTCGTTACTTTTAAAGGCCTCCATGGTTTAGGACCTGGCTAGCTGAGAGACCGTCTCCTGCCACTTACCTCCCAACAACCAACAAGATTGCACAGGTTGGGCCTCCTCCAGGTGCCGTCAACCGAACAATGCCGGCTGGCGACTCCCCAGGGGAGGGCCTTCTCTGTTACTGCGCTGGCCCTGTGGAACGATCTACTTGCAGAGATCCGGACCCTTACCACTCTCCCGGCCTTCTGTAAAGCCATTAAGACCTGGCTGTTCCAGCAGGCCTGGGGCTGTTGATTGATATCCAGCCCCGCTTAGATGGAATGTGTGATGTGAATTTTAATACTGTATTTTTATTTTTTATTTCTATTTTTTAAATTTTAAATGTTTCTTGTCTGTTGTGAGCCGCCCAGAGTCCCTATGGGAGTGGGCAGCATACAAATTCTAATAAACTTGAAACTTGAAAAGAAAAGCATATCTAATTAAAAGAAACCAAATGTATGTGTACATTTAAGCTAGTTATCTGGCTGTTCACCCCACAGATGTGACTTTGGGTAGCATATACAGATTAAAAACTAGAGTCAGAGACCCATCAGAGAAAAGGGAGAAAAAATATTGCAAAGGTCCGATACTATCATAAGAAAGGTTCTTCTCCAAATCTCCTCAGATGACATTGCTTCAGGGAAATGACCATGCCAATTATGTGAAACATAGTCAGATAGTCAGAAACAGCAGGTCCAACAAATAACTCTGTTCTATACCATACAGACCTTGGTAGGCAATAATAACCACCTTACTTCATACTCATAAACATATTGGGAGTCAGTCCAATAGTACAGCATAAGTGTATCATGATATGCTCCAAATTACCTGCACTACCACATGTGACTATCCTGCACCAAACCTCTACAGAATTCCCGGAAGCCTGTCAATCTGACAAATTGCCCATCAACAGGCACATCGACACAAAAAAGATCTGAACTTTCTAGAAATGCATAACACTTTACATAGGACTGCCCTTGAAGCGTATTTGAAAGCTACAACAGGATTCAGGTTATTTGAGGAACCATTTCATCCTAAAGGGACTGGCCTGATCCACCTGTGCCAGCAAAGGTGGCATGCTACAGGCCCCATCAACCAGGGAATTTCAGTTGGAAGGATCCAGGAGATGAGCCTTCTCTGCCATGGCTCCTATCCTCTGGAACATCTTACTCCCTGAGGTGAGATCAGCTCCTACCCTTTTGACCTTCCATAAGGACTGAAGACTAGGCTCTGCCAACTTGGTGCCCAGTGGGGGAGTATCACACTGTTGATGAATTAAAAGAAAATCCTACTTCCCCCTTTATATCCAGCTCATTCTTTCTCCATCGTCTAACTGTAACTTTACTTTGGATTGTAATTATATTTGTCGTTGTTTTTAGAAATATTTATCTTTTATTTTACATTGATTTTCATGTTGAAAGCCACTCGAGTCACTGCAAAGTGTGATGGGCAGCCATCAGAACAAACAAACAAATAAATAAATAGACATCTACATTCAAAAGCAAGCCAAAAGGAAACCATTTCAGCAGCAACCAACACCTAGATGAGCAAAGATAAACATCAAGATTAATATTAGACCAAAAATCAAGCAGCAAATAATACCCCTATCAAGGAACAGCCAAACAAGCTAACAATAAAAAGAACTTCCAAGATCATTCCCACTAACACTGATAGGACAAGCCACTAGAACAGGGGTGTCAAACTCACATCATCATGACTCCGTCACGTAACGCATTGGGACTTTTTTCCCCTTTGCTAAACCGAACGTGGGCAGCATGTGATGCATCTGGCCTGCAGCCTCGAAGTTTGACAGCCCTGCACTAGAAAATAAAATGAGAGGAAACACCACCTGGCAGCACTGATAATGTTACCTTGTTTGGTAATGAAATGTCTGAAAGAAAACAACCAAACTCAAAGAGCACCTCAAACCTTGTCTGGAAATCACGATAATGTTATGATAGGTCTATTGTATGGATGTATGGACTGATAACTTCCTTTTTTATTTTTATTTTTTCATATTGTTTCTCGCTCAGTATTGATGAAAGAGAATATTTTCCTAAATTTGTTTCCCAGCAGAATAGAATTTTAGAGGAATTATTACGAGCAGAATGCTATGTTATTCCACTAATTTAGTTACAAGGTGGCTGAGGGCTGTGTGTGAATATCTTTTGCTATATAATCATCTCTCAGCAGTCTGCTTTAATTAAATCCCAAGGGATGATATAATGAAAACATTCCACCAATTGAGCTTTTTTTTTTCAAATTGGGAAGCGTAGGCAGTTGAAGAGGATTCAGCATGATAGAAAAAAATGTGTTAGAGAAAACAACAACAGGAATAGCACTCTGAATTATCTCCAACAATAAAATCAGTTGAAAAACACTGCAGGAAAAGATTCGGAGAGAAAGAATTTCTCTTACTCATTCTGAGAGAAAGATAGAAATACATAATCTTTTGTAGAGGAGAAAAACTCCAGAGACATTGCAAGGCCCAACTGCCTCAGGATTTATGAACATGTCAGCCCAATAGGGTAAACTAGACTAAGGATCAATGCCATGTAGGTCTACAACTACTTTAAATAGAACAGCTAGAGTAACAGAATCTTGCAAATGTGTGTGCGCTACTGCCTCCATCACTTTTATCAGTGTGTGAATTAGGGTGGAACCTGTGTGAGCTGGTTTCTCAATTTCTTAGAATGGGTTTAATCCATACTTGTTTGATCATTCCCTTATCTTTCCTCTGTCTTTCGTTCAGTTTCTATCCATTCTGTGTGGCCTCTACATCAAATAAGACATTCAGCTTTGCCTTGCCAAATCCCATATTGCAACAGAGAACTTACCCTGAGCAGTTTTTAACTCAAAGTTAGGGAAGTAGTATACAGAACAAAAGAATATCTTTTCCTTTATTCAAATATTTGCAGACATTTAGAACTTAAAATTTTGAAATTTAAAAGTTAAAATTTAGAATATTTTATGAATTCTATCTCCATGTTCCTATTAACAATTGTTGTATGCCTGTATTTAAAACTCTTGATGCAGCCTTGATGCAATGGTCTTCACTATTTTTGTTTCTAAATATATATCATGGTTTTTAATGACTCACACTAAATGTTGGTTTATTCCTGTTATTAGGGCTCTGCATAGTATCACAGGGGAACGTGGCATTGTCATTTCTCGTTCAACATATCCATCAAGTGGCAAATGGGCAGGACATTGGTTAGGTGATAATGTTTCAAAATGGGATCAACTTTACAAATCCATAATTGGTAAGTGAACCTTAATTGCATGCAGTTAATAGCTTTTATACAAACAAATATTATTCCCACCTTTTATAAAACTTTAATTAACAGACACACAATATAAGTAGTAAAAAGTTGCTCTTAATACTTATCTATTCACTTTTGCAATGGACTGCATACATTTTTGTAGTAATCCAATTTATTTATGTGCTCCATTTCGGGATATATCAGCAACATATACCGTAATTAATGACATAGGCTGTTTTTTAATATTAAGAAATAAAATCATGAAAAATGCTAATCAGGAACATTTAACCTTTTTTGATTTCTTAGGAATTAAACTTCAGTATTAATGCATTGAAAACTTAACAATTGCATTTTTGCCACCTTATATTTTCTTCCATATAAGCACAATAACTATGCATTGAAAGTATTGCATGTGAAACTAAATATTTTCATACTCCATAACACTATTCTTATGGCCATTTAGCACATAAAGTATTTCCTTCCTCATTATACCATTATATCATGTACTTAATACATGATTAATTATATTTAGCAGTTATAGCAATAGCAATAGCAGTTAGACTTATATACCGCTTCATAGGGCTTTCAGCCCTCTCTAAGCGGTTTACAGAGTCAGCATATTGCCCCCACAGATCCGGGTCCTCATTTCACCCACCTCGGAAGGATGGAAGGCTGAGTCAACCTTGAGCCGGTGAGATTAGAACCGCTGAACTGCAGATAACAGTCAGCTGATGTGGCCTGCAGTACTGCACCCTAACCACTGCACCACCTCGGCTCTATTTCAATGAGTCTAATTAAAAAAAACATTCAGATTGCAATTCTTTGGAATTTGCATGTGTTGTTACTGTATTCTTCTACATCTATGAAATATGCCGCTGAATAAATAGCAATAGCACTTAGACCTAATTCCACTTCATAGTGCTTTACAGCCCTCTCTAAGCAATTTACAGAAGAAGCATACTGCTCCCAATAATCTGGGTCCTTATTTTACCGACCACACAAGGATGGAAAGATGAGTCAACCATGAGTGGGTCAGAATCAAACTTCTGGCATTAGGCAGTGAATTAGCCTGCAATGCTGCATTCTAACTATTACCACCACAGCTCTTAAGTACTTCTTCTTGCATTGTACCTTCATTAATAAATTTGCAAATAGGTTTTTATCTATTCATATATCATTTTTCTTGTAGGAAAAAATCCATAAGGTAATATTAAATTAAATTTTTAAAGTGCATAATAAGTCTAGCTTGAAACATATCTCGAATTTGGGGACAATCCTTCTAATCTAACTATATTCTGGAAAAAAGCAGATGGATTTAGGTTTTTCTGTAAATTCCCAGTTTCCAATTCTATATAATATGTGTAACGGCTTTTAATGTGAAACATGAAACTTAATAAAATGGATGCAAAAACTGTTACAGAATTCATTATAATCTACCAATATATCCTCCTGACCATATCATATTGCTGTTAGAATTAAAAGCTCATTGAACATCTTAAATATATTATAAAATTGCATATTAAAACACATACTACAGAAAGTTACATATATAAAATGTGTAAAGGTAAAGGTTCCCCTTGCACATATGTGCTAGTCATTTCTGACTCTAGGGGGTGGTGCTCATCTCCATTTCACAGCTGAAGAGCCAGCGCTGTACAAAGACGTCTCCATGGTCATGTGGCTGGCATAAACGCCGAAGGTGCACAGAACACTGTTACCTTCCTACCAAAGGTGGTTCCTATTTCTCTACTTGCATTTTTACATGCTTTTGAACTGCTAGGTTGGCGGAAGCTGGGACAAGTAACAGGAGCTCACTCGTTATACAGTGCTAGGGATTTGAACCGCTAAACTGCTAATCTTTCTGATCGACAAGCTCAGCATCTTAGCCACTGAGCCACTGTGTCCCTTATAAAATGTGTACATTGAGATAATAGCAATAGCAATAGCAATAGCAGTTAGACTTATATACCGCTTCATAGGGCTTTCAGCCCTCTCTAAGTGGTTTATAGAGTCAGCATATTGCCCC